GTCGGTTATTGCCTCCTTCCCTCTAGTGCTGTCGTCATACGTAGGACACTTCAATATTTTCAAAATTGAATATGAGCTCAAACACCGTTACCATGCTGACATGAGTACTACGACCATGGAACAATACCACTACTCTTTTCACAACTACAACAGATAATATCATCCACGTATCAATAGCGGCTATAGCAACACCTCTCTACGTTGCCTCGGGTATTATCGGATACCTCCTCTACGGCGAGAATGTGAAGAGCAATCTCGTGGAAGTAGGGAGTAGCTTGTCGTAGTCAGTGACTATTGACCTCAGGAGTGGACGGGCTCCTCGCAGTGGATACTGAAAGGATGTCTTCTGGCAGTGATTTTGACCAACATGTAAGGAGTGAATAGGACAGGCCGTTTCCATTACTCATCGATCAGATGCAAGTTCCCACTGCTGATCATACCACTCCGCGAGAGCCTCACCGAAAGAGTATACATCAGCGCCGTCGCTTGAGTCACCTCAATGCTAGGTCCCCACATTGAAGCACGTTAACCCCACAATCCTCACAGCTTCCCTACTTGCCTTAGTAACCCTGGCTGCTCTATCTACCAAATCCCTAGGCACCGTAAGGATGCTTCTGTTCCTATCGTATGAATCTGCATGTTTGAGGTCCTGACGCTCATCGGCAGCTTAGCAGGTTCTGCAGTAGGGCTTTTTCTACCGGCGGCCATGTACGGCTGATCACCCTTCAGTTGGTTGGAAGTGTCTGCAGGTACGTCGCTTATCAACGTCGTGTCCACGCTCGTGAGATTCTATTGCGAGAGGTTGAACAAGCGGCAATGGATACTATGCAAGACCCCATGCTGGGGGGCATCTTGTCTCCTCCATCGCTGGCGCCTGCGGAGGCTCCCAACGTCAAGTATTGGACCGCCGTCCCAACCGTACGTGCCACGCGTCTCATTAGTTCTTATTATCTCACAGGCAATATTCATACTTGGTATCGCTGAGGCTATCCTTGGGCTAGCCGCCACGGTGAGCAATTGGGGGACTGAGTGACTAGTTTTTCTCTATTGAGTCTCTGAGTTCACCACAGTACCGTAATGGGTGGGAACTTCATCGTGGTTATATTATTCGGAATCGTGCATAAGCAAAGCAGCATTGCCAAAGCCTCAGTCTAATTAGTAATGACGCGCCAGAGTTTCATACCTGAACCCATCTCATCACCAATGAGATGGCAACTAGGCATTAGGCGGACTCAACATACATTAACACAAGAAACCATAGAGTAGTCTTCTCATAAGAGATCACTACTCTGGTAGAGAACATGCCGAATATCTGCAATTTCAAGCTCTGATTTCCAGGCTGGAAGCCCCAGCGGTTTACAGAGGAGAGCACTTCGCCAGGATTAGATTCCTTCCTGCAAGGTGCCATCCTCCCAGAATGGCGACATGTTCACCCAGAGCACAGATCTGGCATCATTGTCAAAGGTTTCTATTGAAACCAGACGTATAGACCTGCTCATCTACGCCATTCTGTGAGATAACAAGTTCCAGTCTGCACTCCACATATGCGATTCTGTCGGGCATTGCCAGTACTCTCTGTGGGCTCCAATCTCGCCATAACCCACTTCCTGCCACTCAGCCCTTGAGAGCCTCCATTCGAGGATTTTCTTTGAAGAAGTAAGCTAACGGGTTATCGAGTAAATACCTCGTTGCGCGGCTACATTTGTCGGCGTATTTCCATGCTGATCCTACTCTTTTCATGAGCGTTCAGTGGCATCAAATATACAAATGGGCCTCATAACATGAGAACGACTGTACTG